CAACAAATGCAAGAGAAGACGACCAGTGTAGCAGCAGTCTCTGCAGTAGTAGGTCTCAACATACATAAAGGAAAAAGCAAAATTCTCTGATGCAACACGACATGCACAAACCAAATCACTCTTGATGGAGATGCTTTGGAGGAAATTAACACCTTTACATATCTTGGCAGCATCATCGACGAGAAAGGTGGATCGGATGCAGATGTGAGGGTGCGGATTGGCAAAACAAGGGCTGCATTTTTACAGTTGTAAAATATCTGGAACTCCAAACAACTTTCAATCAAAACCAAAATCAGGATTTTCAATACAAATGTGAAGACAGTTCTACTGTATGGAGCGGAAACATGGAGAACTACCAAAACCATCATTCAGAAGATACAAGTGTTTATTAACAGTTGTCTACGCAAAATACTTCGTATTCGTTGGCCAGACACGATCAGCAACAACGAACTGTGGGAGAAAACAAACCAGATTCCAGTACAGGAGGAAATCAGGAAGAAGAGATGGAAGTGGATAGAACACACACTACGAAAAGCACCTAACTGCGTCACTAGACAAGCCCTCACATGGAACCCTCAAGGTAAAAGGAAAAGAGGAAGGCCAAGGAACACACTACGCCTTGAAATAGAGAAAGATATGAGAGGAATGAACAAACATTGGACAGAACTGGAGAGGGAAGCCCAGGACAGAGTTGGTTGGAGAAAACTGGTGAGCGGCCTATGCTCCATTGGGGGTAACGGGCGTAAGTAAGTAAGTGTATCACAAACGAATTCATGTGGAATATGTCAATTCGTGAATTCTTAATGAATCATTCGACGTCATATTTGCCGAAAAATATGAAGTTTCTAATGTTAAGTGAAAGAGGGCTTAGAAATCTCTAAACGGAAGCATAAACAATGTTTTATGGATAATGTCAGTTTGAGATGAACCTTGCTCTGTCAAAAATAATCACACAGGGAAAAACAGCTAAATATTTACTAAAAAATATGTAAAAAAAATAGTATTGCAAAGATCTTATACTACTTGATGTCATCAAAAGCCCTATCTTTATCTTTCTGACGTTCAAGGTAGACGTTATTTCATAGAGGACATGAAAAAAAACAGGTCAATCACAAAAACGAAACTTTGCTGGTACTCAACTAAATCCTCTTATTCAACACTGAATACTCGTCAATGTTGTTGACTTTTGCTAAGTAGCTTTTTTATAAACCAATTACTATTTGTTGATCACTATAGTAACTTACAGACAAACCACATGAGAATAAGAACAAATTAAAATAAACAAGAACTTAAATTCATTTCGGTTTTGATTGCTTTTGATTGCTTACTAATTGACAGGGTTGTTAAGGCATAAACAATTCAGTTATTCATCATTTTCTAATTCATATTCAATCAGTCAACTACATTTAAATGTGTAATAATCAAACTGTTTGAAATATGGTTTCATTTATTTACTAAAATAAAATTTATTAATAATTCCCAGTTGATTCTTTGTTGTTATGATCATTATAATTATTATTATGTTTGTGATTGTTTATTTTCTTCTGTCATTAGTCATTCAAAAACATTAGACAAACCTTCGTACACTCAGTAAACGAGTCGACTTTCTTTCTCTTTATTCAAAAGTTGGAAAAATTCGTGCAATAAACACGATTTTAATATTCCTTATAATAGTCTTTGTAACCGTGAAATCATTTCTACAGTGAATTTGGCTACAACAACGTAAATGGAATGTTCATTTCAAGTTAGAGATTGATAATCAAATATAATTAGATATTCATGAGGTTATAAAATAACTCGTTTGCTTAAGTGATGGTTGTTATTGTTTATTTCACTTTATGCAGTTCATTAATGTTGCGGTAGCATGTTTACGTTGATTTCAAATTGTTGAGATAAACAACTTCAATACACTTGAAATTCACTTTGGTCGAATACTTTTTTATTGCATCATTCAGTTAACGAGATTACTAACTTAGGTATGCTTTTCAAATGTATATTTTAACTTAGTCAAGAAATATGTTAAGCCAAGTTTTATAACTGACCATAGAGTTAACTTTCACGAAGTTCTTTTAATGAACCAGTTTACTTTAAAAGCAATATTTACTAGTAGAAAAAAACGGTATCACCGAGAATAGTATTTGTAAGTTAGAAAATTCTGAATGAGTTTGTAATTACTTGAAACGAAGTGTAATTAATGTGCCGAAGTTATAATTAAAGTATTTTTATTTAATTGACATGGAAATTCATGATATTTGATCTAAACCAGGATTTTTAATTGCATATGATTTAAATTTATAATTTTTTATCATAGAGTCACGCAGATCATTAACTTTCATTTTGGTGGTCTAAGAATGATCGATTCCTGAGTTTAGTGAAACTCAACAATCTCCACAACCCTATAATGAAAATTATCCTGTGCTCACTAGAGACTAGCTTCGTGGGGAAATTCTCGGAGTTCAAGTGACTGATGTAGTCCAACCCTGTCAGGTGTTGGCAATAACCATCGAAGACAATATGTGAGGTTGCGCAAAATATTAGGTTGATCAAAGTAAGACATTAACGCCATCAGATGCCAGTTCACTGGTCTAGAGGCCAAGTGTTCACGCGTAAAACCGTAGGTCCTGCGTTGGATTCCTGCTACTGAGTGTCATGGATGCCCATTGGTAATGAGTCCCACACTAGAACGAAATGGCCGTTCCGTACTTAAAGGTTTCTAAAATCGGTTGATTCTTCATTTTAATAAGCTTATACGGTTAGGAGAAATAAAAAATAATGTTGTATGATAAATCTTTCTTTCTTAAAAAAGCTAACTTAAGTTTAATATAATAAATGTCCGATGATTCTGACTGCATTACAAGTTAAATTTACCAAGAACGTTCTAAGCACTTTTACTTAACCAATCCTTAGGACGATGTTCTTATTCATAGATGAGATCATATTCTGGCTTAATTTATTCTTTTGACGGTAACTAGTTTATAGTGTCCACTGTATTATACAAATATTCTAGAACTTCACCTTCATGAAAATATAATTTATGCTCTATATTAGAGAGAAATCGCCACTTTGAGGCACCTTATCTAATTCTCAAATATCTTGTAGTTTTAACTGTTGGATCTAGAGCTGAAAACTTTACTGTACATTTGGAAACCATTCAGTTCTACCACATTTGCTCTTGTGTGTGGTGCAGCCGAATCGATGCAAAAAAATAATAAACCTTCCAGAGAGAAAAGATTGAAAACTTCGTTTGTAAAATTGACGAAAAAGTAATAAAACCAGTTGTGTATCATCTTGATCTTCTATTAGTTATTTTAATTCCTACTCAATATTATAAAATATTAAAGAAAATTCCTTTAAATATACGTATATGTTTTAGTTATCTTTCCTCCTATATACTCTGTCTGAATCAATAATTATGAGGAGCGTTTTTCAAAACTCATCACTTTATCAAGCTTTAAAGTTGAAGATGATGAACGACCAGTTGATTATTAAACATCAATGATGCGAAATTATTTCTAGTTTATTTTGGATTTATTAAAACTATAGCCGCCAATAAATGCACCAGGAAAATCTACTCGTAAACTTCGAAACTCAAATCAATTTTTTCATAAAATAAACTTTCTTTTAATATTAAAGCTGAAGAATATATAACATTCAGTACACAGAAAAGATCAAAATAGCAATAGATATAAATCACTCAACAAAACACTCCCCTATGAATAGTCGATTCTGTTTATATCTTTGACTATTTTTATTTAATATGTTGCGAAACACTTCAATCACTGTTATTCTTCATAAAATAGTGTTTAAAAATATATTCATGCTATTGTTAAGACATTTATTTATAGAGGAAAATGTTGAATGGAAGTATTTCTACTCTATAAAAACAAATATTTCATATTTATATTGGAAACAAACTGTTTTCTTACAACAGCTTTTTACCGATATGCAATAAACATCGGATTTCATGTTATTATGATGTTACTTAAAATCTTATCGTAATGTAACAGGGAAACACTCAATCCCCAATTAAAATATAACATTTGCCAAAGCGAATTAAAGACTTTTGTTTAAAATATCTCTGCTCAGAAGAGAAAATACTGCCTTTTCTTCTGTATTTAAACTATGTATCACCTATTACTGGTGTAGTGGTATCTGTTACTTCTCTAAAATCTTTCTTTAGAGAATATCGAACATCTTTATAGTTACTTCCCCATCTGCCTTCATTATTTCAGACAATTTGCCGTTTGGTCCTGTTGCTTTCCAACTTCTGATTCGTTTGACTATGTTCTTGATATTATCTTATATGCGGCTGATAAAATTTATAGGTAGATCTATGCGGATATCTTCAGCATCCGGTAGGTTCAGTAACTGGTTCATGTCTCCCAAAACTCCCAAATCTCAGTAACTAGTTAACTTTCTCTATTCCTGACTAATCATTCTGGTCTACTACGTTCCTATATTAAGTTGTTGTATTGAGCAGTTGTCTGATAGTCCCTTCTGGAGTACTTTCTTTCACAGAATCAGAATACAATAGGAACTTTTCCGAAGCTAGCTTTTTGTCCAGAGTGTATTTAGTGAGTTTCTCATGTTCCGAATACAAACGGGTTGGGTTTTCTCATTGATACGACTATTTGATTGAATTTCATGGTCCCCTATATCGTTTAGATATACTGTTTATCTCAATTAACTGTTGCTCTGATTGTTAGAAAGGGTATGGTCCTTGTGGCTTCTGGCGACTTTAAGCTTTCACTATGGTCTATCATAACTCTTCTTCAATTTTTAGGGTCCTGTGTCATAGGTTTGGTTGTTGATTGCTGGTTAGCGCTTCTTTGTGATTCTTTATTATGAGATGGAATAACTAGGTATGTGCTTATTTAGTTTGCTTTAGCTGGGCCTAGGACTGACAGTATTCTCAGGAAGGTTTCTGGGAGAACTATTTCATCCGTTACAGTTGCAACGTTTATAGCGATCAAATTTTTCATTTCCTTCTTTTTCAACAGACACCAAATCAGTGAGAAACATACAAATTCAATAAAGAAAAGGAAATCAGAACAATGAAATTCTATTATATTTTATTAATGATTCTATATTTGTTCGTATTATCTAATGGACATATGGATGAAGATGTTTATCAATCAGAATATGCACTCTATCCTCCATATCCTTACATGTCAGATGATCAAATGGCAGAAATGTTGGATAACAAAGTAAAACACTCTATGCTTGGTAAGTTTCAATTTGACTGCAGAAACATAATTTTTTCGGTCGAATAAAAATCTCATTTCGAAATCTTTTGTTCGAAGTACTGGTGGAAATTTTAAATAAAGCATAAATTATCCACTTTTATTTATTTTTCTATAATATTTTACTAAATAAATTTTCTGACTCCTTATGTTACACAAATTCGACAGTTAGGCAGTTTTTCTTCAAACAAAATCGTGATTTAAATTTTATGAATGAAATTATTCATTTTCTGTAACTGTTTAGTATGTTTTTAATCTTTGAGTCAATATCTGTCTTAGTTTCATTGCATTTGATTGATATTGGCCATTCTACCATTGAAGAATATCTAGGACTCAAAACAACTCTCAACCAACAAGAAAGTTACAATTTTCAATACGAACGTCCGAACCGTTCTATTGTATGGAACAGAAACTTGGAGGGCTGCAAAACCCATCGTTCAAAAGAATTAGGTGTTTTTAAATAACAGTTGTCTACTCAAGGTACTGCGGATCCATTGACCAGACACCATCAGTAACAACTTACTGTAAGAGGGAAGAAACCAGAATGCATCTATGGAAGAAACTGTGAAAAGACTCTTGATTTGGATAGGATACATATTGCAGAAATCTTCCAACTGCATCATGGTGTGGGCCTCAACCTGGAATCGTCAAGGCCAGAGAAGGAGATGTAGACCGACCAAAAAACTGCGTCGAGAATCGGAAACAGAGATGAAAAGAATAAATCGCAATTGGGTAGAACTGGAAAAGAAGGCTGCAAACAAAGTTGATTTGAGAATGCTAGTCAGCGGTCTTTCCTTCACTTAGGCTAACAGCATAAGTAAGTAAGTGAGATGTTGGTCATGTGGCAGCTAGAACCTTGCATCAGAGAAAAGCTACGGGGATTCAAGCTGCTGATCCTGATCTTAGTGTTCGTAAAGGCCTGTAATATATCTGTTTCTTCCCTGTCAACAGTAAACCCGAAAAGTTGATTACACTAATTCTTTCTACCATCCATTTGTTTCGTCTCTCTTCTTAACTACCTGCATGTTTTAACTGATTATGTGAATCTTTCGGATCATGCAATTTTTATTGTTTATTACTTTATTAAGTTCATTTTGTCAAGCTTTGACCAATTTTCTATGTCAGTATATTCAGTCATACTGTCATATTACTTTTAATTCTTATATTTACTGATATATCTAAAGTCTTATTAACAGTTTTTATTATTTATTTATTATGACTAGTTACATAATCCGTCTTTGTTGTTCTCACTTACCTACAAATTGCCTTAACTGCCTTATTGCTTTTAATAATATGCACATAAATATCATTGATTAATAAAATCTGATTAAAAATCTAATTAGAGGTAATATTGACCGTGTATATGCGTTGTTTTTATCCACTGCAATACATCTAATTCGTAACATGGTTTAAGCGCATGTTTATTCAATATTGTCGAAACCAACAACATTCTTCCCAATAAGTCAAATATTGGCCTTCACAATAACTGAAAACACCGTTCTCGCTAGCTTCACCAGCAAAACAGTCACAGTTATAATAATTTTGTTTTTGGATGGTATGATTATTATTTTTCTGTTCACTTTTCGATAATTATTGTCACTGTCTGCTGCTTGCTGAATTAACTTACTACTTATGATATATTCTGTTAGTGTGATAATATTCTATAATAATATTTTTTTTATAGTGAATCAGTATTGACCTTAATTGTCGATAAATCATAAAAACAACTACTTAACCAAATCTAAAATTATTGAACAATGGTACTGTTTAGGAATATTACTTTAGTTTGAAAGCACTTGTCCTTAAAATTGAATTTTTTATAACTCAAAAATAAATATGAGTTCTTTTAAATGGAGGCTTTTATTACCCATTGTCTCATTTGAAGTTGAGAGGCCTAAATTTTAAGTGATCATTAGTCAAATAATTAAGAATAATAATAACAACTGTTAAGGAATACCTTTAACAAATCATTCGGACTATAAAATACCTGATATATCACTATGAAAATTAAAAACAACCGAGCTGTCTCGTAGGATATTAAATCTAATTAGATATTAGCCATTGTGTGATGTTTATTGTTGCTGGTTTTTCTGTCAAATATTACTAATATGTTCATTTGTTCTTTTTTCCTCTTTCATGTCTCATGTCTACTCATGGTTTCTGCTTCATATGATTAATAATTCAAGAGAATAAAGGTAAATGGTATGCCAATGATCCAGATAATAGAGTGTTCTATGTACATCGTAGACGATTTACACGTCCATATGGTCGATAATTGAAAAACAGAAAAGATTAGCAAATGAAAATAATCAAGCCAGCAATTGTACCTTGTTGTTTTGAATGTTGAAAATGAAAATTGACAAAATCTATTCAATGAATTTAATGCTTACATTCAGTTGAAAATGTTGTGTATTTATTATTATTATTATTCTAAGAAAATGAAATAATCTTTCCTTCCTAATTTGTGTTTGTTAATCAAGTAAAAATTTCATAATTTGCAAGTGATATTTAAATAGCAAGAATAAGTTCTCAAAAAAGGAATAAAAATATATCTCTAGTAAATAATTGTTATTTTCAATTAGGGTTATGAAGATTAGTGTTTTTACACATTTGAAATCATCAATCAGTCATTGTTGTACCACCATTGGAAACCTGGAAGCACTGGACGGCCGTTTCGTCGTGGTATAGGACTCATCAGCAGTGCGCATCCAAGACTCGTGCACATCGCAGGATTCGAACTCGAGACCTTTGGTATTGTGCACGAACGCATAACCTTTGGACAACTGAGCCAGCACCCAACAATGCTTCTTATGTGTTTCTGAATAAATCATAAGTTACATAATAGGAAGAAAACAAAACTAAAATGATACTGCAAAATCACGAGTTAGTCAGATACCAAAAGACTAAATTATTTATTGAAAAAATCAATAAAAGTTTGAATAATGAAAAAGCTAATGTAGGAGAGCACACTTATTCAGAGAGCAGGTCACAAATCAACATTGACAAAAAAAATAGAAAGACAATCAATAAACTCTATTCCAAAGAAATAAAAAACTTCAAGTGTTCATGTGATGCTGTTTCCTTGAATGATAAAATATACCAGGAAAATATCCAACTAAATGTATTTCACCTTCGTTTAACGATACATTGTGTCGGTCTAAATATCTACTCATAATAAAGTAAAGATCATACTCGACCACTGAATAACAGTCTTATTCGAAATTATCTTACACCAATATGAAGATACATTAAACCGCTACCCACTTAACACGTAAACAACTGGTAACAATGATTTGTAATTTTTGAAATTCGCATCACTCTAAAACACTATGTCATCTATTTCAATTTTTAAGTAAATTAAAAACAAATTTCACTTAAGAAAGAACGAATAATTTTATTTATTGTTTGATTTTTTCATTACATTACATCGATGAATCTGTCGAAAATGTACTCCTACTTGTTAATTTCTTCATCTACATCCATTTACATATGTTTGTTTATTTGGATCCTGAGCATTTGTCACCACATTTACAGTTACCAGAGGTGCAATCGCAGCTCGACCCACAACCACATTTCCCCTCACAGCAATCTTGAATAAGCAAAATATTTAATCAAACATTTAGAAAGACAATTTTGATTGAACAAATTACAGAATCTCATAAAATGTCATGTTATGATGTCTAAATATTTTGGAACAATCTTATCTCTCAACCAGTATGAAACATAGTAAAACCTTCAAGGAAATTATTTGAAGCATTGCCTTCTTCGTATAATGCTGAACCTCAGATGAATGAATATCACATGTCAAACATCCTAACCATATATGCGTAGTGCATTGAGTTCGTTGTGTTCATAGTGATAAGGGTAGTAGCCGCGATGGATTTGTTATAGGTTGGTATGGAAATACTGATTAATACGTGGGTGAACATAACGAAGAGTCCACATCCAGTGCTTCACTTCCATCTAGGAACTATTCACATTTCCTACACTCCTCTACTGCTACACTAGTTGTTGTGAGAAAATTTTCATGACAAATGGTAGGTACTAATTAAGAACAGTTCCATATGTAAGACTTCATTGTCTACTGTACACAGCATTTCCAATACAGAGAGGGACACAAATTAACTACTCTGGCTAATACTCTTTGGTAACGCGTTTGAAGTATGAAACAAATCTAAGACCATCATACCCAGTGTCATAGTCATTATCAATAAAAATAACGCAATATACAATATTCTGTATACTTACCAGACATAGTATTAGCTCAGGTGCTCTGAATTATACAAAATATATGATATGTTCGTCTCTATTTATATACAATTCTTTCAGTGTTTCACATAAAATCAGTTCATTTTCACATTTTTGTGAACGTTTGTATAAATCAATCAATAATTGTTTAGCGCATATTGGACTATTGCATACATTCAAAGTCGGTTAATGATCGATGAGAAAAAAGTTCGAAATTTATGTAGCTTATGAAACCATTTTCGGATCATATTGCGCATTCAAGTTAGTCGTGTTTTAAATTCGATTTTTTTTTCATAAGCTACATAAATTTCGAACTTTTTTCTCATCGATCATTAACCGACTTTGAATGTATGCAATAGTCCAATATGCGCTAAACAATTATTGATTGATTTATACAAACGTTCACAAAAATGTGAAAATGAACTGATTTTATGTGAAACACTGAAAGAATTGTATATAAATAGAGACGAACATATCATATATTTTGTATAATTCAGAGCACCTGAGCTAATACTATGTCTGGTAAGTATACAGAATATTGTATATTGCGTTATTTTTATTGATAATGACTATGACACTGGGTATGATGGTCTTAGATTTGTTTCATACTTCAAACGCGTTACCAAAGAGTATTAGCCAGAGTAGTTAATTTGTGTCCCTCTCTGTATTGGAAATGCTGTGTACAGTAGACAATGAAGTCTTACATATGGAACTGTTCTTAATTAGTACCTACCATTTGTCATGAAAATTTTCTCACAACAACTAGTGTAGCAGTAGAGGAGTGTAGGAAATGTGAATAGTTCCTAGATGGAAGTGAAGCACTGGATGTGGACTCTTCGTTATGTTCACCCACGTATTAATCAGTATTTCCATACCAACCTATAACAAATCCATCGCGGCTACTACCCTTATCACTATGAACACAACGAACTCAATGCACTACGCATATATGGTTAGGATGTTTGACATGTGATATTCATTCATCTGAGGTTCAGCATTATACGAAGAAGGCAATGCTTCAAATAATTTCCTTGAAGGTTTTACTATGTTTCATACTGGTTGAGAGATAAGATTGTTCCAAAATATTTAGACATCATAACATGACATTTTATGAGATTCTGTAATTTGTTCAATCAAAATTGTCTTTCTAAATGTTTGATTAAATATTTTGCTTATTCAAGATTGCTGTGAGGGGAAATGTGGTTGTGGGTCGAGCTGCGATTGCACCTCTGGTAACTGTAAATGTGGTGACAAATGCTCAGGATCCAAATAAACAAACATATGTAAATGGATGTAGATGAAGAAATTAACAAGTAGGAGTACATTTTCGACAGATTCATCGATGTAATGTAATGAAAAAATCAAACAATAAATAAAATTATTCGTTCTTTCTTAAGTGAAATTTGTTTTTAATTTACTTAAAAATTGAAATAGATGACATAGTGTTTTAGAGTGATGCGAATTTCAAAAATTACAAATCATTGTTACCAGTTGTTTACGTGTTAAGTGGGTAGCGGTTTAATGTATCTTCATATTGGTGTAAGATAATTTCGAATAAGACTGTTATTCAGTGGTCGAGTATGATCTTTACTTTATTATGAGTAGATGTTTAGAGCAACTAATAATATCGTTAAGTAACGGTGAAGTGACTGTTAAATTATCGGCGAGCACTTTCACCTTTTACATCATGTCAATCAATTTTATTCTGTTCCAGCATACTTTGAATAGATCGCCCTCGGAAATATACCTTTTTATCGGTGACTTACTGAACAACGGAGTAGAATATTTCATAGGAATGGTAAAATGTATCCCGACCCTAATCACGTCTTTCCTATTTAGTCTCGTTATTTAGTTTTATTCCTCTATTATTCAGTGTGGTTGTAGTTGACAATGGATATTCTGTCAACTATTTTTGCTCATAAGAGAATTCAGAAATTAACTTTTTTCAATTTGATACATATCAGCTGGCGATAATCCTTGAAATAGTCGTAAACTTCCTAAAAGCATTATAGATAATCAAGCTGCGTTACACTTCCAACGAAATGTGATTGATTTGTATACTATTTCAAAAGGACGAAATTAACTTACATCTCTCCGAGCAGTTTTGCGTGTACTAAATTTAGGTCCAGTAGTATGACTCCAATCTTAACTTCTGATGATTTGCTTCAAAATGTGTTTATTAAAGTAGAGAAAATCAATACAAGATGATGGGTCGCCAAAATTTATAATCGCTGTTATTAACTCGATAAGTAAAGTGATGTTGACATCACCTCACTGGATGAATGATGATGTTGCAAGCCATGTCCCAAACCAGAAGTTATCCTAAATCCCATACTATATTTCTATTAGGAGAGGAATCATTACTTGAATGTTTTCATATATTTCCACTGAACCAGATTACTATCATTTACTAGATTACTGTCAATCAATGTCAATTCGAATAAATATCATACTTGAATCCAACAGAATATAGATCAAGAAGCTTGAAAGTTGATAGTTTATTAAAACGCACCTTCAGATAATTGTTTAACAATAATTTTATGTAGCCAGTTAATATCAGAATATCAGCTTTGACCGACCCTTTAAGTTACTGGTTTAATTTCATAACAAAAGTGTCCACATTGGCAGAAATGAAATTTTGCCATCCTAAAATAATACTGACGTAATATTTTATTCTGATTGCATTTTTCCATTAAGTAGTAAGGATTTCACAAAACCCAGCACAAAATTGTACTTAATTTTTAATCGAAACATGCTTTATTTGATACTGAAAGGTTAACACTTTGTTTATTAACATAAATATGAATTACAATATCTGAAAACGTTAGTGTCGGTCAAAAAGACCTGATGTTATTTTGAGTATTGATAACTGCGCCAAAATGAAGTCGGAAGAGAAAAGATTTGAATACCTAAAAGAAAGGGTACTTTCAAATACAAACAATCTTGTGAAATGTTAAATTAAAACAAGAACTTTGTTGTAATAATGATTATAAACATCCTTTGGAATTATTTCCAACATCATTATTCATAAGCATTATTTTTGGCTTTACAAAAACGAAATCAATTAGCAAAAATATTTAGTACAAGTTTAAGAAATAATAACAATAGTGTTTAAGAGTGTATAATGTTGCCTTATCATGTTATACCCAGATGAACTATGTGGAAGAAACTATAGTAAAACGTTTAGACATAATTTCTCAGATCTTAATCAGATTTTGAGTTAACCAATATAGTTCAAACCTGTGATCCATCTAAAAAACTATCTATTCAATTGAAAATGATTAGCAATTAATATCCTCTTATGATAAATTATCCCTTTTCTATGTTCATCCATAACCGAATCAGCATTTTACGGTTTCCCAATAAAATATGAACATCTACACTTTATTTATAATTAAAATTAGGTATTTGAGGAACATAACTCCGCCAGTAGAAACTTCAGGGCTACTACCGGTCCGATGCCCGGATAAAGGAGGAGGTTTGGGCATGGGGT